ACAAAGATTGTAAGGTATATTTCTTTTGCGAATATTCATGGTACGAGTGTGAAACATGTAATTTTATACAACTTCTCCGAGGGACCCTCACAACTTACCACCGGGATGCAACAATGTTGTTATTGAGATAATCAGCTTAGAAATATCCTTACCATACACTGTATGTGTCATTTTGGAAAACCGGGGTTTTGGGACTTACCTACAGTACCTGAGGGAGTTCACCTACGTTCAAAATCATGCAGTACCCATCCAGTACCTATGGTCAATGGTCAATCAAAGTTGCGGTGGCCAACACTTGCAGGAGGCTAAGGCCAGTATAAATTAATTTGAAGTTTTATATTATGATATACATGATATATGAGCATAAATCATGGAAATGAATAGATGCATATGTATAGGACAAGAGCCAAATATCTAGTAAGATATTTAGAAAGATGTCTGTTCTAAACATTCAAGTCTTTCTTTAAGATATATATAACTTCATGAAAACCTGCAGAACATAATGTCAAAATTTTCCATGCTAATGTCTCAAAGTTATTGTTCGCAGGGTAAACTTACAATATACATATGTCAAAATTTTCCATGTTAAATGCTGTATTAAAGTTAAATATGATGTCAAAGTTTTCCATGTAAGTTATCAATAGCAGTATACATGATGTAGTTTTCATTGTTCAAAGTTATTAGTTGCAATTTAGCAGCATACATGATGTCAAAGTTTTCCATGTTGCTGTATCAAAGTTACCTAACAGTATCATGATGTCAAAATGTTATGTCTCAAAGTTATTGGTTTGCAATGTGAACTAGCAGTATACATGATGTCAAAGTTTTCCATGTTACTGTTTCAAAGTTATTGGTTCGCAATGTAAACTAGCAGCATACATGATGTCAAAGTTTTCCATGTTGCTGTATCAAAGTTATTAGTTCGCTATGTGAACTAGCAGTATACATGATGTCAAAGTTTTCCATGTTACTGTCTCAAAGTTATTGGTTCGCAATGTGAACTAGCAGTATACATGATGTCAAAGTTTTCCATGTTGCTGTATCAAAGTTGGTGTAGTATAATTGTATAATTAAATTATCTATTCAATACAAGATCAAAAGCAAGGCATGTTTTTTTTTTCTTTTATAAAGAGATTTATCAGTAAAATATTACAGTTTGCACTGTTGTTGAAATCTTAATTTTAATATGAAAGGTCATTACATAAAATGTTGGTAAATTATCAATTATTCAAATAATAGTTTTATAAGGATTTCAAAAGGCGTCCTTTTCAAAATATACAATGTTTATTGTAAGGAAATTACTTTATTGACAGTATTTGCTTTTTTTTAGGTCATATTTTATTTTCTCTATTGTGGCTTATTTGCAAATAATTTAATATTTTAATTTAAATGTTTATACGTACATGTTTCAAACAAAATACTCTTGAAAATGATCATAAAGAAAGCGAAAATAAATTTATATTTTTATGTACATGTATAAAATCAAGTTTTTTAAGTTTACGTTTTCAAACTCCTAATGACAGACTTTAAGGATTTATGTTGGTTAAGAAAGTCAGCTTTGGACCACAGACAGACACCTGTCAACCTTGGTTTAATATATCTTTATATTCCAATGAAACAAAAATTACACGTCGTCAATTTTTCACGCATGTTATTATTGTAGAATAAGGTTACAATGATCCAAGATGTGATGGTATGCAAACAAGACATTAGCTTCAACAGATAATATTGTTCATCTTATGTGCATTAGCAGTATCACATTAAATTCAACACAATGAAAATCAAATAAAACGGTGAAGAAATACGGATATTACTGAATAACACCTTTAAAGTTCACATTATTACTGTGGCTATTAAATTCACTTACACTTTATTGCTATACACGAGTGATGTTAAACATGTTCAAATCCTGCATATTAAATAACTGTAAAACATGATATGGTATTTAACCACCGCATTTGCTCTCTAAACATTTAATCGAGCATCATAAAAGGGGAGTAAAAGGAACACTAAATATTGCGCTTCAAAGGTAACAATGATACCAGCATTAAATCCATGTAAAAAGAAAGACAGAGATTGAACATTTTTTTATTTTAAATCTCACCGTACCGGTATATCTCTTCAAAAAGTAAAATAAATATAAATTAATAGGAAAACAACTTAATAAATAAAGATAAAAATGAAATAAATAATAATAGCTCAAATATCTTAAACTAAAGTCAAAATTAATATTACGAAATAATTGATTTAGAAATATGCTTATTATTTTTAAAATTCATATTTATATATGCATACATTTACAAAGATGTTTTTGATTTTAATGTCAATAATGTATTTTAAAAATCTGACATTTTATGTTTTGAGGTGCAAATCGTTGGTCAAAGGTCATGCATGCCATAGCGCAATTATATTTTCAAATGGCCGTGAAATATACGCACAACATATTAAAAGGATATTAGAAGGGTATGCAGACTTGTACGTTTATGCTAGGTGTTAACAGTGTTCATGTGTCCATGAGCACTGCGCTAGAAAATCACCAGCTAAGTGGCATTTAGTCGTCAGTTACCTAATTGTTTGTATCTAAACTTTTGTAAAAGAATTCAGTTTTCTAAACGATATCGTTTTTGTCATCGACAAGTGATTAAAAATGAAAACCATCGATGTTATCTGGAAATTTTACCGAAATGCCCCTATAATTAGAAGTCTAGGCTCGAGCCTATTCGACGCCAAAACATGGATGCAGAATTCTAAATACCATCTGTTAATTTATTTGTTGTTTGCTTTTTTCTGAAGAGAAATCAGATCGTCTGAAAAATTGCGGTTCACTTTTGATTTTACAGAAAACTTTAAAAAGATTTTAAAGATAAAAAACAAAACATTGGCATTTTTAGCAATCAAGAAAGCAGCAATTTCCCTTCTTCCTAAACAACCAATGTTGACAGTTTCATTCTCAGCTTTAAACGCATTTGTGAAATCAAGTTCTGTAAGTTTGTCAATTGTTTGTTTGTTTGCTTGTTTAACATCACTTTAGAGAATTTTTACATTCATATTTAGATGTTACCACTCGCTGGTGGAGGACTGCAAATTAATTCACATAGGTGACTCTAAGGGAGATAGGGCACCAACAGATCTCTTTTAGTGCCAGCACCTACTGCGATACAGACACATCGGTTTACATGGTCTCAGTCGAAGGACAAATCCTGCACAGTGATACAAACCGTCGACTTAAGAATAAAGAGAACACTCTAAACAATATTCCACAAAAGTGACAGAGACCATAAGTATGGAAAGGAATAAGAAAAGAAGCTCTAAAACATTTCTTCCTCTCTAGTCAAAAATTGTCATATTATTATTCATAGTATCTAAAAAACGTAAACGAGTATACTTAGTTTGCAAAAGAGGTGGAATCTATTTACAAAGTCAAAATTAATACTTCCTCAAATAGAAAACTTTTTATATTAAACAAAAGATTACCCTTTGATCTTAATAACAAAAATATTTCATGACATTTGCAAAAGAATTTTACTTCTACGAGTAAGTTATAATAACAGCATTGTCGTTTTGGAAAGGATATTAATTGTATATCAATTCAGTTTACCTGAATATGAAAATCTCCTGAATACATAAGAGGACGATGTTTTTTTAATTAGATATACCTCGAAATCAATGTTGCACAACACAAGCGTTGGCGAATATATTGCTAGGCCTTTTTTTTTTTTTTACGAAATGTGACAATGAAATATTCCGTCTACTCCATTAATACATTGAAATCACGGGGGTGTGACCGGTTTAGAGGGGATGCATTCTCTTCCTGGGCACCTGATCCCACCTCTGGAATTTCCGAAGGTCTGTGTTTATGCCCTGTTCGCAGATTTGAATTGTATGTTGTTCATATGAGATGGTTTAATGTTCGTTCTCTTCACTTTTTTCACAATTTAAAGGTAATCAACTATAAAAAAAAAAACGGACTGCTTTTGATCTTGTAATGTCCAATTCAGTGTAACTTTTATTTTAATAATTAAAAACTGTACAAGACAAAGACCCTTTTATTTATATTTAGAAAATCTCAAGTTTTAAGAATTGTATTTTCAGTAATTTGAATTTAAGAATAAAAAAGTTTTTAACATTGCAAACTTCCAATAAACTGAGTTTTTTTCCCGTATCCTTCTATTTTATTTTGCCATTTACAAGCATGCTCTCTTAGTGGTCACGGAAGCCTAGTGGTAGAGTGTTCGATACGTGATCGGGAAGTTCGGGTTCTATTCTCGTTCGCGGCGCCGCGTCAAACCTAAGACGTAAACATAGGTAGTGACTGTTCCTTAGCCAAGCGTTCGGCACTAGAAGTGAAAGTCACGGGTCTTCCGGTTATGACCTTAAAAGCATAAGTCCTGTGTCATAAAGGCGTTGGCACGATAAAGAACCCTCAGTACTCAATGGCCGAGTATAGGACTAAATTTGAAGCCCTTCACCGGCATACGTTGAGGTCTCTGTATGAGTGAAAAACTCTCGAATGGGACGTTAAACAAAATACAATCAATCAATCATACAAGCATGATCTCCATTTTTGTGTTAAAAGTTTGTGTATTTAAAATTAGTAAATGATATGAAGATAATAATTCTTTATTACTTATAAATTAATCTGATATAATATCGATTGCCAGGATTCATGTGCAAAGTTTAAGGAACCTTTAAATCAACGATGATATTCATTTTTTTTTCATATCATTGCTTATAATTTTACGATTTTCAAGCGATTTTCGATACCTTTAGTTTATAAAAGACATCGAGACTTTACCAAAAAAAAAAAACAAAACAAAATGTAATTGATAAATGAAAAGGTATTTACCACGATTGCTTAAGGTTAAACATTAAAAAGTTATTTACTCTGATCACAAACACTAGCAAATTGCAACCAGATTATGTCAAAGTTGAACCTCTTCTGATTTTGCTCAACATCATACAAAGAAAAGAGAAACAAATATCATTTTAAAGTACTATTTTAGCTTTAATAAATATTCAAATCAAATTGTTATTAACATGTTTCAGTTACAATAATGATAAAACACATAATGTCCGTATAAGGGTTTCATCCCCTAATAGCTATACATTGATGGAAGAAGAGGCCTCGGCACTATAGCAGCTGGTGATTGTTTATGAAACAGGTCGGCAAATGAAGACGTTTGGTCTGAATATACACCGAAATATGGTCCCATCATTCTGTGGGCGTTTGCCAGGTTTGCTTCAGCCAGGAGTTCCAAACTTACGGAGGTCTGTCGCTTCCATTTTGTTCTGAAAATTAGACGAAAAATATTCAATGAAAATTTTAAGTAAATATATTCCTCTTAATTTGAATGTATTCTAATTATTAAGAATAAAATTTGGTAGTTGTTCACAAATTATTTAACGTGACAAAAGTGGCAACTCACGAAGAACTATTTTACAGACTTTTTATTCATAGAAGGAGGATAAGATAAGGTGTTCTAGTATTAGAGGATAATGGAAAGAAGGAAGCAATTTGATGGGTATTTGTGCTATCATAATACTTCATTAATATAAAAATAATCATAAAATTATGAATGCTATTATAACACACCTTCTATTTTGGTACCAGGTCTTGACTTGTGTGTCAGATAGTCCTAACTTTGTAGCCAGTTCCATTCTGTCTTGAACACTGAGGTACTTCTGTCTGGCAAACTGTTTCTCCAAGCTGTTGAGCTGGTGGTCGGTGAAGGCAGTTCTGGCTTTTCGTGGTTTCTTTATTTTAGACATTGTCTCTAGGCCTGGATATCTTAGAGAAGAATCTGTAAAATGGAAAATGAACTCTCTCAAACTGCATTAAATTATAAAACGATTGTTTTGAAAATAATATTTTTTTCTAATATTATATTAACTAAAAGAAAACCCCTCTTTTAAAAAACAATTTTAAACATATACTGTAAAATCATGTTATATCTATTTTTTATTTTAGTAACATACAAAAAAGTTTAACAAACAATTCTGTTATCGAAATTTAAAAGGCTTTTTTGACATACCTGGTGAGCAGCAAGTTTCTGATACTGGGGAGTGTAAGTCCTCATCTCTTTCTCCATTTGAAGCAGTCTTAGACAGATTATCACTTTCCCCATCCTTTTCCTTGTTCGATAGAATGTCACTTATCATAAAAGAAGTCTTTTTCGTGGATGGTTTGCAGTCAGTATCTCTTGGTGAAAAATGTGGTCTTTTCATTGTCTCACTCGAGGATGGAGATTTGCAAGTTCCAGTGAATTCTTCAATGTTTCTGTTCCACATTGCTCCTTGTGCCGAATGGATGATGGAAAACCCTGGTCTTATTTGTTGATTTGGACAAATAGGATAACTCCTCATAAATTCCATTATGTTGAGGATCCGAATCACTGCAAAGTCTGCACTTTGGTGAGGAAGTTTAAATTTTTTATATTGGTGTCAACAAAAGAAAGCCTACAGAACCAATGGCAGGCTGTTCTGTTCCACACCATACTGGTGTCCGGTTACTTCTTCTAGAGGGCGGGCCTTCCTGCTTTTTGATTTATTTGAAATACATTTTACAACAGATAAACATTCTGGGCTTTTGTGGGCAAATTGCTTTGCAAATGTCTGAATGTTCTCTTCTTATACATCACTTATCTCTCGGAGAAATTCACGAACCCTTTTTTTTTTTTTAAAATAAATGTTTTCTTTTAAATTCTGATTTCATTTAATTGATTTCTTTCATTGTAATGTTATGCACCAAAAAGAAATATCACCATTTCTACCATTCTTCTGATAAATAATCGAAACGAAATTTATATTAGATTCTAATTTTTTTCGCAATTTTTCAGATGGACAAACTATACAAAAGGCAAAGTGTGCTATTGAAATAATATAGCCCCACACTTGCTTCAACCCAATAAACTGTACCTCTTTCCTGTGTGTAGAAAATATTATTTTATCTTAATAACTTGCTTGACTAATTGATATAGCTAAAGTTTAGATATCAAGACACTTTTTAATACCCATTTTGTTTAAATTCAAGAACCGTCAATAGATTAGACTGATTTGATTTTTAGATCATGCGTGTCATTTGTATACCTGATTAAACAACTGAGAGAAAGTTTTTTTGTACCCTTCACCTGCCTTCAAATGTCCTTTTGTTTATTTCTTATCGGTTCTGAGGTTATCGTTTTTAAGGAGTGGCGTGTGGCTCGCAGGCTTCCGAGGGAAAACAATACGAATGTCACAAGCTAAACGATGTTTAAAAGATATTTTTTCTAGTACTTAAAACATGATATAGAAATTTCATTTAATTTTGTGCTTTTTCCAAGAGAATTGTTTTTATTATTTTCACTCTACAAGAAAAAATAAATTTATGTAGAAAAAAGCACTTTATAGCAGTTTCCTTAAATGCTCCAATTGCAACGTGTTTAAATTCAAAAACAGATATTATTTAAGATAATACATGTACACAGTCCTCTGTACCCATTCCTAATCTTTCAGGAAAGATTTTTTAAATCTATAGAGAAAAATACAGTATACCATTTTTTTTTAAAAGATAAATTCTAATTTTCAAAGAAAATAATTTATATATAACTCAGTATATCGTTATAGCTGAAGATTTAGTAGTTTTGATCGTTGTGTATGCTATCATAAGATTCAACTCACTATTTTGTTCTATCAATAACAGGAGTTGCGCTATTCCATGTAGGTGTATTGCAAATGTCCTTAATACGTTTTTTCATCTTGAGTATAAATAAACTTTAACATATGAAACAAGTTGAACATGGCGTCATTTATGAAATTGTCATTAATGTAAAAACTCTTTGTTTTTATTTCTTTATTTTTTTCGTCATTAAAAGTCTGACGCATTACATAATGTCAGGAAAAATTTTCTTTTCGAAAATCTTAATAACTCAACTGACCTGGAACCAATAAAGAAATAAGATAGAAGTCAGAATGTTAATTAATTGAAATCTTACAGAACTATCTTTGTATTTGTGGATTGCTTTGTTTCTTGTATTGGATATTTTCTTCTAAGACGTTAAGAACCTTGAGTTAATTTCTTAAATACTAACTCAATTGATTTTTGAGTACAACAACAAATAATTGTTATAAGTAACACAATAACGCTAATTTCTCCTACACAATAGATTTTACCTTAATCAAAGAAATGTGCAAGGACAATAATGCAAGCTATCCAGCAATTATTTTAAACCAATAGGATTAGTAAAATTACCATTTATCACAGTGACACGTTCCGCTAATGATTCATACTCGCCGGATGTCAATTGTGTGTCTTTAAAATTTGGCAAATGTCGCCGCAGATGATATTATCGATGTGTGAAACCACTTACACTACAATTATAGAAAAATATCTTTTAGAAATCGACTATTTTTGCCTAGTCCTGCTTGCAGTTACCGTGTGCATGACTTTATTTTTCCGGTAAAAATTTATTTCTACATATACATCTTTCTTGGTCTGCGTTTTTTAAATAAAATTTTCAAATATTAAATCGTTTGATACTCGAAAAGAGATACTCTTTGATGAAATATGTGGAAATAATGAACAGTATTCAAGTGCAAAAGTATATTTAAACTGCCAGCAAAGGAGCGGAGCAAACACAGACCTCCAAAAAAAAAAACTGAGGTTGGATCAGGTGCAATGGAGGAGCATCCAACTGCCGTATGCTGTTTGTCATGATCAGTAAATATGCAAAAGTCCGTCGGCAATTCACTGTGTATATAATGGCCGAATAATTAGTTAGAAAAACATCAGTCAGCATTTAATTTAATGATAAATTGCATTTCCTGACGACCATACAACGTATGAAATGATGATTTTAAATGCAACTGCTGATGTTCTTGATTCAGCTATTTGTCTTTCAAATATATGCGTCGTTTTAGAAATTGTTCACACGTAGTGCTTTTGTGTATCGAATCAACTGAGAGATATAAAATTAGTATGCAGGTGTTGAAGATATATTGCTGAATAAGTAAGAGAAGATAACTATTGAAAAGTTATAGTCATCACATTTATCATAAAGCTTGGTAGTTAGATAAGCATTAAGTCATTTTCAAGTAAATTATCTAAATATGAAGCAGATGTGTCAGACTCTGTGGTATCTTTCATTTCAAACTCACAAAGATATATCGTATCGACATGAGAATGGAAATAACAATTGTAAATTGACAATTTGTGGTCCATTTATCTTATTGTTGAGTGTAAGGCCACAGCAAGTAATTTGTCTTTTTCATGTATAAAATTTAAACAAATTCTGCTTTATATGAATAAAAAACTAGAATTGCTAACAACGGGGCACAATTGGTAACCATGGGAATTCCAATAGATTGATGGAAGACAGGGCTCAGGATCAGAAAACAGGCTTAGATTTACGTAAAATTTTTGATGGCCTAAAAATATTTGTTTATATTGAATTTATGTCTAATTTTGCAGAAAATATCCCTTTTGCGAAGCAGTGGTAAAATATCTTACTTTTGATTTGTTTGACTTCTACAACATTTAGTACAACATTAAGATTTTGACTTAAGCTTAAGATCTTTTATAATCCCGACTTATATCGACTTCAAAGTACTTGTGTGTACAATCAGAGCTGTTAATGATGTCAAAAAGCTCGGAGTTGAATTTATCGTTGGGAAAGATTGTATATATAGTGTAAGGTTGATAAGTAGTAAGATTTATTTTGTTGATTTTGTTAATATTTTGTGAATTCTAATTAAATAAAAGTTCCTTGAAATGAAAAATCCACATCTCATTTACACAAATTCTCTAATATATTTTTGCACAGTACTCCCAAAGTTTCTGAGGAGTAAAAAAAAAAGCAGAACCCGCTTTGTATCCTTAGTTTTAATCAAATCACTTTTTGTTTAATACAGATAAAGACAGCTTGATGTGAGTTCAGTCTTGGTAAACAATATGGTATTTTACTCTTCTTTTTAAAAAAATCAAATCAAAACAAAATTAGTCACTATTATAGCACTTCTTTTCTTTACTTCGGATCTTTCGACGGTTTCTTGAGAGATAATCATAGGTCCAGTTTAAAAAAAAACTTCAGAGGAGGTCCTCTTGGTGTTGTTATTTTCCAATTTGCTAACGTAGAATAATTAATGATTACTTATATGTCCATTAAAATCTTCCCAATTGAATATATTCAATAGAAGAACCACGGGTTGGGAAAAATATTAAATTCGATACTTTCTACTTATCAAAGTAGACAAAAATATGCAATTAGGATTCATAATCACTATTCGTTTTGAAATTTAACGATATAATGAAACACATTAATTAAAATAAGAAATCCGAAGCGCATTTTTCACATGAGTATCAAATTAAACTTTTGATTTGTGGACGACTGGCTGGCACTGATATCTGTAAATTAGCCCTCTGCTAATTGTTGGTAAATATTAACGATTTTAGTGTTAAACTTACAGATAAATATGAATCACGCAAATAACAATTAAACCCTATAATGGCAAACACAATTGGTAATGTTCAAAAAGTCAAAGAGGCTAAAAGTAATAGTCAAAAAACGTTTCCATTGTAGTTCGGTTTAGAAATGACAACGTTTAAGGCCAGCTAATCGTTTCAGGTAGCTAAATCTCCATAAAAGTGACAATTTTCGCTGAATGCACGAGATATGTTAATGGGCTGGGAACTGGGATAATTTTCTTAACAAGCTTTGAAACTTCGGTGAAATTCCAGACTCAAAATCTGACATAACGAATAGAATCAATTAAAATAACCATCATATTTTGTTATTATTCTTGGTTTAGTCATAGCTTTGGATTGTTCTTCTTTCCTAAGATATAGATTATCTTTTTGTTGATTTTAATTCCTAGTTATTTTCAATTATGATTTTGTGTTTATGAAGATTGAAAGAAAAATAAAATATCTTTATCTATAGCATATTTATGACAAATTTATTTTCAAAAAACCCTTCTCCACTTCTGAATTCATAACAGTAACTAACCAAATTATTTATGACATGTCTTATGTATTTGGTTAGAATTGCAAAACATTTTAAACAAACCTATGTAAGTGATATGTTATCAAATCTGTGTAACTACAAGTTAAGACTCAACAATCGATCTCCAGATTGTCATTAAAGTGTCGTTTTTAGCAAGAAGCAACCCCCAAAAGGAGATTAAATGAAGATAAATGGCATCTTTGAAATTTATCGCAATGTCTATCGATAACTTGTGTAAGCTGAAACATTACGTACAAATAAACCTTTCAGAAAAGACCAGTAAATTGACAATTCAACTACCCTAACGATTTCTATAAAATGGTTATACGGAGACGAAGATATGATAGATTGTCAAAATACAAACCGATGCTTTGTTCCTCTGTTGCTTGCAAAATGGACCAAAGGAGACAAA